AATTTCTGGTGAAGGGCTTCATTTAAACGTTCCAGTTGCTGACTGTAGATTTCTGCATTGACATTTTGCTGTGGATTGAGGAGTTCGAAATGAATTACTCCTTTGACGTCCCACCAAACGCAAAGCATCACTTTCTACGGATGGAGTCCAGGTTTTGGAGTCGGAAGTAGTTCTTGTTTAGGACTGAGCCATTGTTTTGGGCGTTTAATATTCGCATAGAGAATCCATTTTTCATCACCAGTAACGATTCTGTCCAAAAATGGTTCACGCGCCAGAAGAGATGAAGCAACGTTCACACATTGGAAACGATGATCATCTGAGAGTTCGTGAGGCAGCCAATCACCTTCTTTATGAAGTTTCCCATATTCCTTAGATGTTTACAAGTTGTTTCATGAGAGACATTCAATTTCAGGGCCATTTCACGAGTGTGATGCCTTGAGTTAGACTCAATAAGCGTCTTCAGAACATCAATATCAGTTCCAACATGTCGGCCCCCGCCATCACCGTTTTTAAGGCTAAAGTCACCTGAACGAAATTTGCTGACACTTACGAACATTCAAATATTTCCATAAACTTCTTTGATATTCTTTGTGGCTACAGAGGCATTGTTTCCCTTCTTGTATTCATTTGTTTGTTCGTAATTAAGCACAAAGCTAATTCTTGTATTCAAACAGCATTACATCCCTAATATATTGCAAATACTCGTTTGATTTTTTATTTGTAATTTAACATTATTTCTTTGAGAGGTCTCTAATACTATTATTATGAATAATCCTACGAAATCGATTTTTCTTTGTCTGGTTCTTTATTATTGCTATGATTATTTGTGATTTTGATATTAAAAAGGCTGTTTTCTGTAACTGATTTTATTTGGAAACTGAGTTGGTTATTTAAAGTACTGGCCAGGCACTCTTTTTATTAGTGTTATTAGTTTGTTTGTAGTTAAGCACAAAGATACAAAATGGGCTATCTGTGTTCTGCCCACCACGGGTATTGAAATCCGGTTTCTAGCATTGTAAGTCCGCAGATATACCGCTGTGCTACTGTGGGG